GTTGGTTTCCTCTGGTATCAAGGTTAACTGACACTGACATCACTCTATCTTGGCAGAATAAAACAATTTGCACCGTGCAAACAACAGTCTTTCTCCCAGAGAAAGCATCTGAATGCTCAGACAACGTTTAGAAATTGCTGCTGTGGCATCGCCACGTAGTTCCTGAAATCCGTTTTCCTCTGATGTCATCTTCTGCAGTAGAAATCCTTTGGATTCTCGGTTGTTCTCTGTGCCCCTCGCTGCCCAACTCTCAATTTGGTGTGGGTTCCATGCAGGGAGAGACACAGTCATATAGTCACCCCCTCTCGTGGTCCCGGAATCCCGTAATTAAAAGGAGCGATGCTCCAGAGTACCTCCAAGGCTTTGTGTGTCTCACAATGACAGTCTCTTTGCCATGGAAACAAAACAGAGGAGATGAGCCTGGGGTAGTGAACGCTGGCCCCTGCCCCCTCCCCTTCAGATGCTGAATCTCCAGCACAGAGCAAAAAGCCCGCATGCCTGCCTCAGCCCAGTAAGAGGCTAATGCCCCAGCCTTGGTGGCTTTGTGGTTAGAAACTCCTACTAAGAATCCTGAAAAGATAACTTCTCTTCTGATGATCCCACTCCCCTCTACCAGTTCGGGAGTCTTGCTTTTCTCATACAGCCTGAGTTCCCAACACCTCTGCCTGCCAAACCTCAGTCCTGGGTCTCTTGACTCTCCTAACTCTGAGGATAGAAAGAGGACCAGGACCTCCTGCCCGGTTCCTGGGGACACCCAAGAGAACCAGCTTTCTTCCTCACTGACAGGTGAACTGGTGGCCACATGTTGACTTGAGATTCCTGTTATTTTTTTCATCATAACACTGTGTGGCCTCCTTGGTTTTTTCCCCCAACTTTTTACTTACTCTGGTTCATTTTCCTACTCTCCCATTCTCCCCAGTTTATTTTGTGCTAGAGTTTAATGATGGTATAATTTACATGATAAAAATTACCCATTTCAAAGGCACCATTCAATGATTTTTAGTAAATTTAGAATTGCACAACCATCACCACCATTTAATAATATCATGGTCTCATCACCTTATTTGCAGTCACCTCTTGTTCATTTTTGGCAACTGGGATGTCTGAACTACCTCCTCTTACCATCTCCTGGGAAAGATGATCTCAAAGAGAAGAGCCCAGATGAAGTTCATTTAAAAGAAGGAAGTTCTTTGCTGCTCCCGCCAAGATCCCTCTCTTCCCCCAGATGTGTGCTCTGATCACAACCTTGGTCTCACTCCCCAAGAGCAGCTGTCCTGAGTACAGTGGGGGTAGATGGTGGAAGCTCACAGACGACAGGTCTTCCTGACCCTGTATGTGAAGTTGCCAAGGTGTGTTTCTGTAGAAAAAGCTATTTAAAGTGACACCTTGAGTCAGAAAGCTCCAGGTCAAATTCAAGCCCTGCCATGTATATGCTATGCATTGAACAAACCAACCCCCCAGAGCCCTGGGGTCCTTGTATGTAAAGAAAGCAACGTGAATACACCGTTCACAGGAAGCCTGGAAAGTGTCTGTCACATTCTCAGTGACGTTTGTACATGTCCACTATTCCCAGAGTTTGATCAAATTTTCAAAGGGGACTGTCATCTCTCCCCACCCCCCCTCAGCATGCCACCCCATGACAGGGTAACACAGAGAAGCCCCCAGATGCTCAGTGAAGGAAAATAGGGTTGGAAATTCTGGGGAGACAAGATTGGACAAGTTGCAAAGAGGGAGCTATTAGGTAAAGAGGCGGCTGGAGAGAAGGTGCAGGGAAGAGGAGGGCCTGGGGGAAGAGCAGGCACTGAGAGTGGGGTTTGGGGCTCAGAGTTGGGTTACGGGATAGACCAGCCCAGACTGAAGGCGCAGGAAGTAGAAGGGAGGGCAGGAAATGTGGGGAGGAAGTTTCCCTCATAAATGTGTGCTTTTATTTTGCTCATATACTTATTTTATTATTTATTTATTTATCGACACAGGGTCTCAGTCGGTCACCCAGGCTTGGCTGCAGTGTTGCAATCTTAGCCCGATGCAGTCTCAAACTCCCTCCCTCCTCGGCAGTTGACATTACAGATCCACACCACTATGCCCAACTATCTTTTCTTACTTTTTGTAGAGCTGGGGCCTCACTATGTCTCCCAGGCTGGTCTCAAACTCCTGGGCTCAAGCAAGTCTCCTGCCCTGGCCTCCCCAAAGTGCTGGGATTACAGGCGTGAGGCACTGTGTCCAGCTCAGTTTGCTTTCTAAAGTCTGCAATTCTCCATTCTTGGCAGAGGAGGGCCCAACACAGATGCTCAGGCTGTATGACATTTAGAGCTAAGGAGTGACCCGTGAGGGGGGAGTGCGGCGCTAGTCCTGCTGTTTGCCCGGTTCTCTCTGAGTTTGGCTTTGGAGTCTCCCTGAGCCCTCGAGGAGTCTTGCATTGTTTCTGTGGGCCCTGTCTGAGGCTTCTGGCACCTGGCCAGGGCAGCTGGGGATATTGAAAAGTGGGCTTTGAGGACAACCTGGTGCCATGCTGCTCCATCAGCTGGATGGCTTTCTCTGTTGCAAATGTATGGAAAGCAGGGAGGAGGGAACGGGATGGGGAGCACGGTGCACACCCTTGGCGGTGGGACACAACCATAGTTACCTGCCAAAGGCAATTGTGTAACCTAATTCTTTGTATCCTCAATGAACCCCAAACAATTAAAAACAAACAAACAGCGTATGGAAGCAGATGTCACAGCAGAGTCAAAGGACCAAAGGACACTGGCACGTCACTGTTCAGTCTTCCCCCCACCCCTGTCACATAGGCAGCATCATTTATAAAAACACAACACACCTTGGGTTTTAATGAGAAAATAACTGTATACTTGCATTGAATGCCTCACAATCACTATAAAACCAAAGCAGGATAATAACATTGAAGTGGTTACATACACAGGACAGCCGGATACAGAGTATAATTTCCAAACACAGTATTGCTGCTTTTATCCCACCCACCCCCCACCCAAAGGAAAAAAAAAAGGCAAAAGAAAGAAAAAAAGTCATTTGGGTAAAGAGCAACACAAAATCAAAATTGGCAGCTCACTGAATGCTTAAAATTCAGGAAATTGGTTCTGTAACTAAAACTGGATATAGTCACCACCTCTAACACTTAGGCTATTTTTTTTTTCAATACATAGTTTAATGAAATTCATTCTTTAGCTGGAAAAAAATGTTTGTCTTCAGAGACAAAGTCAACACTGTCTTAGTGTTCTCTGTTACACTTTATATAT